GGGGGGGGGGGGGGGGGAAGGTGCCTAAAATGAAAGAGTAATATTCTAAATCTGATCAAGACTGGATGATGCCAAAAAGGACAGAAAAGAACGACTTTTTTTTTCCTTTCTAAACTACAGAATGGAAAAGCGAGCAGGTGAGGTGTGGGAAAAATCCCGAAGGCGTAGTCGACAGTTGTAGGTTGTCATTAGGGGCCTTATCTTTAGGATCAGGTCTCATATTGACCAAGGCCATTAAAATATGGCCAAGGGAGATTACTCCTAAAACAAGACCTTGAACACATGTTTGGTGGGAGTTTCAATCAAACAGACATTTGCCTCCCGTTCAACCGCGTTTGTGTACAGCCAGTGCTGTTTTGGGGATTAACTTCCATTTTAATTACCCATTAATATGGAAACTAAAAAGATTACCCAAAAGACCCAAATCTGTTTACCGATTTTTTGGTTATGGTGCTGAAAAAATCCATTTGCCAGATTTTATCAGTTTTATTGGGCCGCATAAGCTTAAAGTTGTTATGAGCTCTGGTAGCTGAATAATAAACATTGGATATTAAAGATAACTTCAGTCTCTAAAAGGAAAATGCCATTATGATAATATGTAACTGCGAAAATGCCATTATGATAATATGTAACTGTTCTCAGTTCAAGAAATTTAACTTACAGACATGCCATACTATACAGATTTCAGCAGAACCTATCAGGTGTAAAGAAATAGTTCGTCTTTGACTCTTTGTTGTGTATTATGCTGGAGAGGCAGTCTTGACTGCAAACTGTATTTTTGGTGAATATTGTACAAATCATTACTTTGATTTATTCTTATAAAATGCATAAAGGGACTTTAGTATGAAACATAATTGTGCCTATCTGGCAATTGCTGTTTTTAGTTTATTTATATATATATTTTATGTGAATGGTTGTATTAATTGTTTTTTTTAAAGAATTTTCCTTGTGCCTTTCAGTTTAACCATGTAATGATCCAAAGAGGAGGACACATGAACAGATGCCATTGGTTATCACTGAACAGCTTGCACTGTGATGCAGGAACAGACGCCATTGGTTATCACAGAACAGCTTGCACTGTGATACAAGAACACAGGGTTTTAAACACATGTTTTTGAATAAAAACAATTAACAAATTAGCACTTGAAATAACTTCAAAACATTTATTAAAACAAAATGAATAATTTCCATCAACGCTATGAAAAAATGTAACATGTTATAAATGAATGTTGGACACGGTAAGTAGGCCTAATCTCTGGAAAAATAAAATTCCTTCTTGTCTTACATTCATAACAAGCTTCTTAGTGAAGACAGCAAAAGACCTTGTCACATAGAAATATCCACATCTCTATGAGTGACCCATTCAGTTATATAGCCGCACTGATATGGCTGAATAGTTGCAAGATTTCTAATTCATATAGCAATAGATGATTTACTGCTAGCCTATCTGCTTATCACTGCTAGCTTAATTACTCCTGTAGAGCCATGTCAGGGTTTTACCATCCTCCGCCCCCCCCCCCCCCATTCTTTTATACAACCATGCTGCTCTGTGGCTTACAGATATTTAAAATGAACACAAGAGCCATTCATTGGTCTTTCTTAAATTTTAGCTTCTTGGAGATTCATAATTAACGGTAGTTGTCGAGGCAGCTACCAGTTAGTGTTATGGACTGACTGTTCAGCTAGTTGTCGAGGCAGCTACCAGTTAGCGCTATGGACTGAATGTTCAGCTAGTGTCCAAGGCAGCTACCCGTTAAAAGTTATGGACTGACAGTTTTGTATCGTAATGATGATGCAAAACATAAGGGAGCAAAAGTGGTTTACATATAGAAACTGAGGGGAAGATGGCTTATCGGTTTGACCAATACTGAGATGGATTGATGATGTGAAGATGAATTTTCATCACAGCAGGGTCCATGCATGGAGTCCCAAAGTCATGGATCGGTCTGAATGGAAGTATCTGGAGGAGCAGGCCAGAGCCCTTCCTGCGCTGTAACACCATTTGTAATAATGAGGATGATGTGAACAAAATTGCACCAGTAATCTGAATCTCCAGAGTCCAGCTTACCCCCGTTATGTAAATCATATTTAAACGATTATTATTTTTTTTTAGCCTGAACGGAAATGTAAAAGTCACAGAATTGGGATTCTCAAGTAAACAGAAATGTAAAAGTGCTGCATATTCATGAATTTATAACATATCTTCAAGTCTTGTGTCATAAATACTTGACGTCCCCAACACAACATATATGCTTTGCACTAATTACTTTGCCCCTACACCACTGCTTAGTGGCTATGTTATATTGCTGGAATATAACCCACAGGCACATCACTGAAATATTACTAAGTTGGTAAGAGGCAAGTCGAAAAGGCTAAGAATCCTGATCAATTAGTGCTTCCCCTGGAATCTGTTGTAGAGTGTTAGGTTCCAGGACAAGCCCAACCTGTTCAGTGCCACCACTCACCCAGGACATTTTTGGACGGTTAGTCGATGATCTCGAGTGAGCTGGTGTGGAGTCATAACATGATTCATAGGGATCCCTACTACCTTGTAGGAGACCCATACGAGCTGGGCTATCTGCAATGATTGGTTGGTCCTGCATGTCTGAATCTGCATTCGTAACACACTTTGATGGCTTGATTGAGTTTTGTAACACTTGTTTACTGGATGGAGTCAAACGGTCCTCAGCGACAGCGACAGGCTGTTGTTCCAACCTTTTATACCTCTCCTTGGCCTGCGTCCACCTCTTGGCTTTGTTGACGTTGTGGACCTTATCTAAAGACAGGGAGACATCTGACGCAGAGCCCAGTCCAGCACTCCGGTTGAGTCTCATCTCGACATTGATCTGAACAAATAAGAAGGAATTACACATTGTTGATAATTCAACTGGATTTATCACAAGTTGCATTGATCTATAAGAAAATTTATCAAATTACCATAATTTTAAAGAAACCTTCAAACTCTAATGTTCAACATAGTAGTGCAACAAGTACTCACAGGCTCAGCTATTCCACTGTTTGCCTTCCCCAGACCTTCTCCTTCTTTCCAGCCCATTTTGGCTAAGAGTTTATGGCCCTTGTTTTCAGCAGTAATGGGACTATACAAAGAATTTTTTTTTTTAAATGTTAAGTTAAAGGGGAGGCTATTCGAGGAATTACAAAATTAAAGAGAAGATATTGTGGATTACAGTTTATTTATTTTTAAAAGGAAACTATATCCAGTGGTTCCCAATCTCAATGTCTCAAGATTTTGTCCAAGGAACTCCATATCAGCCTGCCTGACAGTTGCAGGACGTGGATGGTGATTAATTAAGTTGGTGTAGTTAATAAATAGATGACACCTGACATAAATCCCCAAACAATTTACACAATTTTGAGCCATCACATCACTAAACAAATAAATCCAAAAATAATTTTTTTTTATGCTTCTGTAGCAGACCAGGCAGAATAGTTTGGGAACCACTAATTAACTTTAATTGAGCCCTAAAGATAAAAGTTATTATCCAGTTTATTTATAAGTGCCATGAAACTAATAAAACAATAAAGAATACAAAAATGGTGTGCATCATCATAGTAAGATAAATATGGAGAGAGAATAATTTCATCAAGCGTGAGAATGTTTTCAAAAAAATTGCAATGCAACACGTCAGTTTATTCAAAGCCGATTTGTAACATACAAAAATATCAGAACCAGTTTTAAATATAAAATATACGATATAACAATAGAGACATATAAGCCAATGTTTTATCTTAAGCTGTGTCCAGTTGCACACAATTTGTAAAGCCAGTGAACACAGCAAGTGTTTACATATATTTTAATAAGACAGGAATTTTTTATTTCAATTACTATGCAAATAATGTTTCTACCCATTATTCAACCCGGGAAGTTGTAAAAAAAAAAATTATAAAAACGTAAGTTTAAAAAATTAATAGTTAAAAAATTAAGTAATGTGCCACATGGTGATGATAGTTTATGTATATAATGTATTTATAATTTATATACATACAAGCCTCATAAAAATAAGAGGGAACATTGCTTATAAAAAAAAATATAAATGTCACCTTTGTACTGAGGCAGGCCTTTCATCCTCTCTATGAATATTAGCTTCACTGCCAATAAATTTCCTCCTTAAATGCGCCTTATCACAGTAGTCAGCATTGGAAAGGACAGCACCTGTATTTTCATAGCTAGAATTCTGTGAAAAGAGGTAAAGAGCTCTATTAATAGAAAGAAAGTTTTAATATCAACAAAAATGAATACAAATGTGACTGAGCCTCTCGAAAGAGTTTCATGAATATACAAATGTTATAATCCAAAACTAGTTTTTCTAATTCATTAGTGTTATAGACTGACTGGTCTGAGGTGCCCATGTCTTCCTCTCTTTCTACTCAACTATATATGTTCAATATAGCTGCATACCAAGATGGGCCAGAATGTATTTTTATTATTTCAAGTGAACAATTTTCTGCGTTAAAGACATTTTAAAATTTACTTTGTGTACAAAATATAAACACAACACATTAAAAACTTCTTAATATTGGGTGTCTATTACTTTGTAAGTAAAATATTAGGCTAAATTTATTTGTGATTGCTATACGATTAATTGCTATTCAATTCTCTAAACCAATGAAAGAAAATTGCTTTTAGTTTGTTAACCATTAATTATTTGGAAATGTTGGATGGATTTGGAGATCACTGGAGCATAAAGGTTAAGGTGACAAAAATTATAGTCAAAATGGGTACTAATATCAACAGTTACGCATGCTGGCTTTGGTACAAGTAAAATTATAATAATATTTTAAAAAACACACAACGATGTGAAAAGAAGAACAACCTGTAGTCCATATTTTTTCTTGATAGTTTTTAATTCTTTTCTTCTTTGCTTGTTCCTTTCCTCCTTGCTCAGTACAACATAATCTGTTAATGAGATGCATATAAATTATGACTACACTAGCAGTATGGTGTGCAAAATTTAGATCAAGCATGTGAAACTTCATGAAAACAACTCCACAATGATGTAAGCACAATTAATTGCTGGGGATAAGGAAATGCCTTGGTTTGATTATGATCAACTCATTAAAGGATGAACTAATAAAAGCAGTAACTAGAGACTGACAATGAAACAAAATACTTCGTAAAAATCCATGTTTTAATGGGTTATACAGTTAATATGCTTTACAAGGTAAAATGATTTTTTTCCATCCAGCAAATAAAAATCCTGTAAAATTGCAATGAAACAATAAATGCTTTAGAATTCATCCCAAAACTCTTCAATACTGACCATTTTTTATTGGATTCATGGCTTTTAGTTTAGCCTGGACCTGACCGGGTTCACAATCTTCACATGTGTCATGACCTTTGTGAATATGAAGCAGTAACTTTGTAGTGCCCAGTTCAAGAATGTCCCCATGAGATAATTTGTGGTTTAAACTTGGAGACTTACTCTGATGATAAACAAATGATTGGCTTCAGTTTCAAGTATTATAAAAGCTCAGATTTAACCTGTTAAGCAACATTTGATTTTCATTTTATTGAACACTAAAATTAACCAGCATTATAGTTATAACTTCAACTTCAAGCAAGAGTATATTCTATTCCCCAGATGTGATAGAGTTTATATTTTGAAATATTTTTATATACTGGTATATAATTTATTATAACTTCTAATTCTAAAATGAAAATATGATATTTTAAGGTGACCTTAAAAAAATGTAACCTAAAATACTGACCACTTTATCACAGTTTGTTGTACTCACTCACCTGCGACATTCGATTCCCATTTAAAATAGTACCATTCTGACTTCCTTTATCTGTGATGGTGTAACAACTATTTTCATAGTCGTAAATCAACTCTGCATGGAGCTGACAACAGAATCGTACAAGAGTTTCTTTTAAACTTAAGCATTAGAAACAAACTCGATTTTAACTGACGAAATGAATAGAATTATTTTCGTTTCTTTTGAAGAGTAAAACATTTACTAGAACTGATATTGCAAATATTTCATAATTAGATGTAGGAAAAAATTAATTAGATTTGAAAGAAGTTTACCTTAGTTTAAAAACGGATGTTAGTTTATTATTAAATTATTACACAGTGTAGTCTGCCATAATAAAAAAAATATCTCCAAATGGCGATACACATAAATTTCACAGTTTTTAATTCAGTTTTCTTAGATATAATATAACCTAATCAACACTATTAGATTAAATGCTTGACACTAACCTTGCTGATATTACTATCATGTATTTCAATGGCATGACCCATATTTTTCTCACGACCAATGCTGCCTCCGGCACATGTTATAAGATATAAAGCACCCAATGAAAGATGTTCAGATTCTTGGACAATCACTCTTATACATGGAGGGTGATTCTCTGCTATTTCTGTCAAAGGAAAAATTGTTTCATCTTTTTAAATGAGATCATCTACATTCCTCCAAGAATCTTCCATTTTTCCCCAGACAGAAAACATCCTAAAAAAAATAATGATTAATTTTTTACAATTCATTGTGAGGTTACTTTCCACAGCTCATATGAAGATTGCATACAAAAAAATTTGATTTTGAATTTATTTTGATTTTATACAATTATTTGGTAATGTTTACCCAGCCACAGTTGAATTTCTCCTTTGAATGTCCCATAAATTATCTTGCTACATAGTATTAATTACATATTATCTATGTAGTTGATTTTTTGGGGTGAAATAGTTGGGGAATATGATCTGAACTTTGAAGAAAAAAAATCTTTGCAGAACATTGAAAAAAATAAACAATATTGGAAACTTTTAGATTATAATTACTATCAAATGTAGACCTTAAATAAAAGTTAAAGTTAAAATCTTCCCAAAACATTGGAAGAATAATGTTAAATCAAACCAGCTAATGATGGAATTGAATTGTCAAAATATTCTGTCCCATGATGTGATGAATCAAGTAAATGTGTTGTCTCCGTGTCTATCATTTCTACATCAGATCCTGAACTGTCTCCAGTAAGTTCTCCAGATTCTAGGTCAGATACAAGCTCAGATTCATCTGTAGCAAGACTGTCAGAAGATTCACTGATACATTCATTGGATTCATCACCCAGTTGCATGACTGTGGCATCCTCTTCCTCACACTTGAGATCAACATTATGTTCTGTCGATAATTTATTATCTACTACAATGCTCTTAAGTGAAAAAGAACTCTTTTGCTTTATTTTGCTTAAATGTCCCTTGTCAACACCATCACAGTTATTTTTGGATTTCTTTGATCTGGATGAAGACTTCTTTCTTCTCGTTAACATCTTTGTAACACTTGATTTCTTTGAGCCTTTCATATTAGTTGAATGTCTGCTTGGGTATTTTTTCTGAAAGAGAAGAAAAATGAAACATTTTGATAAGAGAATAACTAAGCTTACATTGACAAGTTCAAATTTACCTAGTGCATTTATCTTGCACAGATGTGGATCTATTTTCATAGTAGAAAGTTGGCATGACAAACTGTCCACATCAACGGGGTTGCTTGGCCAAAATGAATAGTACTGGAACAAAAGTGTGCAACACTTGAAGTAAGCCAAAATTAATCATTTCAAAATGTGTTTAAGATTAAGCCCTAAATATCTTAGTTAAATGTCAAAAATCATTATTACATGTATAAATGTTTCTTGAATTAAACTAAAAACAGAGACCACCGATACCTGGGCTTGACCTGTCGAATTCCCTGACAATGTGTGAGGTTTTCCAGTGGCTTCTACAACAGAATGTACTTTATATTCTCCAGTTTGTTGGTCATATTGATAGTAAGTTCCTGTTGTGTACTCATAGAACAGCTCGGAGCTCTGCAAGCAAATGAACTTCATTCATATATATTATTACTTTTGAACATATTAATTTTAGATTAGCTTGGTTAATCCCACCATAAAGTCAAAGACATTTCAGTGATACGTACCGATACACATTGTGCACAGCATTTTTAAAAATTTTCATTGTCATTTTAAAAGATTAAATAAATTTACTTTTATTATGTCACACATACAAACACATTAGATCAATGAAACACCTACTGGATCCCAATAATACCCTGTGGCAGGGTGATAATAAAAACCAGTGGCTGCGTCATAGATATACTCAGAAGTTGTATCTTCCTGTATCTGTTTTTGTGCTTCTTCATTAGATTTAGACTGATTCTCTGATTCAGGATTTAACAAGTTCTGTAACTCAGCTTCAGCTGCAGCTTTCAGTGTTTCAGCAATAGACATAGTGCTTGAATTCTTGTATTAGAAATATAAAGTTAATGGATTAGTCCTGTAAAACTCAGGCATGGCTATATGAATTAAAAAGCAAGTTGATGAACAGATAGGAACCAAAATGTAATGAAAATTATTTATATTATTGCAGAGACATTTCATATAATAATGAAAAATGAACTTAGCATGATTTTTTTGTGAAAATAGACGATCATGCATGATTGATAATAAATAGTCTACTAAATCAAATTACAATAAACGAGAACTTAATAATGGGATTTATCTGTAACACCTCAAGGCTAATTTGTTAGAATGAGCTAACTCACCTTAATTGTGTTGCCTCCCCACTCTGGCATGGGTTTGTTACCATAAGCTGAAATATCAAATCATGTATTTTTTAAATAGGGCCATTACAGCAAAATTAAATTGTTTTACAAATCTCTTTTTTTTTTTTTTTTTTTTTTGGTTTTTTTTTTTTTTTTTTTTTTTTTTTTGGTATTTTTTATCTATAATTCATTTTAACTTAAGCGAGTTGGCCATAATTTGTGAGTTGGCAATAATATGTGAGTTAGCCATAATTTTTACCCTTTTACCTCTTTTTTTTAATTGTTTCAGATTATAAAAAGTCCCTAGGAAAGAAGTGGTAAATCTGATACAGTGCCTTGTAGTGTTCTTTCCTGGATATTTCCATATCTATCATTTTTATTTTCGAGTACCGGGCATTAAAAAAATATATTTATATTGGTGATTTCATGGAGAGCTCTTTTGCAAATTATTAAGTTAATTTTAATGACATATAAAGCACATGCACATCAATTTAAATCGTTTACACAACTAAACCAGACTAAATTACAAGAAAATGACAGCATTGTGTTGGCAAATCCTTGCTTTCCATATTTCTTTACATATTGTTTGAGTGTAAAATTATTTCAAGAGTCAAGCTAGCATTGATTATAGTTTTGTTTCATTGACAACATAAAAGAGCAACTTGCTGTTAATAAACCAGCAAAAATATTCATATGACAACACCTTAAATTTGTGACATTTTTCTTTAATGATCTTTTTTTATATAAAAAAAAATTAATGACTAAACATTGGTAGTTAAAATTGTTTAGAAATCAAAATATTGCAGTTTACCTTCCTCAATGGCTGCTTCTGAAACTTGTGTTGATACATCTTTGTTATTACAGTTTCTATAATCATGAAGTTTGGAATTCAATGCAGACAGCTCTTTTCTAAGATCTTCATTGTAGTTGTTAGCTCTTTGGAGAAGTCTTTCAGTTTTTGATAATAGTCTGGTAAGCTGCTCATTATCTTTATCCTTTTGTAACAGTTTGTTAGTTAGTTCTATAATTTCTTTAGATTTATCCAATTCCATAACTTCTGAACTGTTATTTAAATTTATATCACTCATTCTCAGTTTCAAAACTTTAAAGAATCAACCACAGAAACTATTAATATTCCTAACCCATCACTGAAATAAAAAAATTAAAAAACTGTATTAATTTGCTTCTAATTGGCTTTTCAAACATAAGAAAGCTTTGAAATTTTAATTATAGCAAGTAAAAGATATATGTGTATACATAAATAGATGGTCCTGACTGACAAATCAACACCCATCTCAAACCATTTAAACAGGTAACATGACATTTGCTACCGGTACTGTACTGATGTAGGCATCTAATAATAAAATATTTTCTGAGGACCTTAATAGCTGCTGGATATTATTTATGAGAAACACTTAGAAGTAACAAAAACTCATATAGTTAATGTCACTGGTGTGAATCCCAAACTGGCTCACATAAACTGTGTGATGACAGGGTCAGTCAATGAGTACCCTGCCTGCCCCGTTCTCTTCTGAAGCCTTAGGTTTCCAGATTTCACACCCCCGACCCCCCCGCAAAATTAAAATGACAGGCCTGGCACCCTGTTATTGAAAAAAGCATTGTATATGTAATGTATATCATGAGTTATAGATATAAATTATAAAATCGGTTTTCAATTGTTTTTTTTTCAAAAAGTGGGGGAGGGGGGGTCATGATGTAGGCACCACTGCCTATATAATATATCTTTTATTGATGAAATGAAATAGTGGGGTGTCAGATATACTTACAGAGTGACATATGAGACATTTATATTATTGTGTGTATAAACTAGTCATAGCATTTTCATAAATTGGTCAAAAAATGCCATGGACTTATGAGTATATTGTAAGCCTATACTATACTATATATCTTAACTTACTCTATAATGAAGTATAAAGGCCTTTAAATATAGGGCAAGTTAAGTTTTAAGAACTTAGACTAGTCGTAATTAAAATTAAAAAATTACTCTATATTGACTTCAGTGGCCTACATAGGCTACGGGCAGTATGGCATGGCCACAGCCCACACTCTACCTCTACAGTGACTACAGGCTAGAGCAGACTTAGAATGACTTCCATATCATAAATAAAAGCTGAAAGATGATATTGTTGTTTTGATAAAGCTTATATTTATAAGCATATATAAGCGGCACGCGTTTATTTCCATGCGCGCACTTTAACGTCTTAAATCGATCCCTATGCCGAACCCTAAATCGATCCCTATGCCGCATGCCATGCCTAACCCGAACCCTAAATTTAAATCTATCCCTAAGCCCTAAGCCTAACCCGAACCCTAAATCAAACCCTAAACCCTAAATCAATCCCTATGCCTAACCTTAACAAAGTCAACGTGGGCCGCTAAATCTGAAACAGCCATATATACTTAATATACTTAAGATAGTCTAGTTAGACTTAGATTAGAACTAAATAATTGAATTAGGCCTAGATTAGAATAAGTTATAAGATTAGTTTTCAATTTCATTTCATTACATTACATGATTTGATACCTTAAATTTAGCCATTAAGCGAACTTAGTGTTGAGAATTTCATTCCACATTACAGCAGTTAGCATAATAAGATCTTAAGTAATTTGCACATTATGATGGTTCGTTCACAACAATCTAATTCTAAAAGACTACAGATTGTTTTGTATTGTTGTTTTTTTTCGTTGTATGGAAGTTGGTGGCAGGGCTGCCACTCACTTTTTTCAAATTTCCCAAGATTTGGTGAACAAATTTCCCAAGATTTCCCAAGATCATACAAATATATAAGAGTTTTTTTTTTTAAAGGGGGGTTTTCTATGTAATTAATGTAATAATAGATTGAATCAATGCCCCTGAAAAACATGGTATATTAATGGACTGAAATTTATTGAAAAAGACATTTAAAACATGTTTATCACATTAAAAAAAAAAAAATTGTTTTTAAAAAAATAATTTATTATCCAAAATATCAATACTCACTGGAGTTAGGCTACTAAATATTACCTCCGAATTCTCTGATAAAAATATAATCTACAATACATGTGTAATAGAAGTCACTTGGAAAAAAAAAGCATACAAGGCTAATCAACACAGAATTCCTTTTACAAAGGCAAAAGTTTCTTCATCAAAAAATGATTTTTTATTATTGTAAATCTGTTGATTACAAGTGGGGTTTGCAAAGCAATTAAGCAAAATTTATTAATAATAATTGTAGTTAAAATGGATTGATATTACGATGAAAACAATAAGTGTTTTATTTTTTCTTGTAAAATTTACATTATAACGATTTTTTCACCAAAAAAAAAAAATACTTTTAAAGGAATTGTTCATTTATAATCCTACAACGTAGGCCTATACTGCCTATACTATTAATATCTTAGTTACCCGTGTTTCAATCCACAAATATTTTTTCTAATTGATGAAAATTAGGCTGGATTTTTTACAGATGCATTATATTTTGAACACATTGTAGAAGTAATTGAAATAATAAAATTCTACTATGGCATGGATTCTTGATTGAACACTATCGTTCACTCTTTGGCTTGTACTGTTTTTCGTATGGTTGCTAATGTCTAAGAGCATAATGATAAAGTTTCCGAGCCTACCCCCCCCCCCATTTAATAAACATTCAAAACCTGGATGTAATTTGTAAATCTTCAATTTTTTTTTTAAAGAGAAAATTGAATTTTTTAAAAAAATTATTAACTTTTTAATAATTCACAATATTAACTTTAAAATCAGAAGAGTTTTTATTTATTTTATGAGTGGATTTAAAAATTAAAACCAGAAAAGAAAATGAAAACAATTAATTTTTTGCCTTGTTACTTTAAAAATTATTTTGCTTTATTTTTACTTTATTTTTTATCAGATATTGTTGCGTTTTTTTCGAAAAATATAACAAAATTTTCCCCCCAGTTAAGATTTCCCAAGGTTTTGCATGATTTTCAAAATTATTCCCCAGATCCCAAGGGGGGTCGTGAATTCCCAAGACCTTGGGAAATTTCCCAAGGTGTGGTAGCCCTGGTTGGTGGGTGCTGCCAATTTTTGTTTCGCACTTCAGTGCACCTCCACATTCAATGTAAGGTAATTCACCGAAAATGTAAAAATTAACTGTAAAAATTAATTTAAGAAATATTATTAAATAATTTCTTATTATTAAGGACTCGTTATTAAGAAGCCACTCGTAAATTTTTGTTGTTACTTTTACTTTATTTAATAATAAATTATTAGGTGAAAATTTTTATAAATTCGAATATAGAAACCAAACTCCCATTTAAAAAGAGTTAACTTCCTTATTTATTGTTTGGACTTAATCACTGAAATTGAAAGTTATTCGTTTTTGTGCGTAGCCTAATCCTAAATGAAATGTCAGTTTCTTTCACTATTTGCAACGATGATTTGTTCTAGTAGCCTATAGAATTCAAGTCATACTATATTTAAGGTTTGAATATTGCTTAAAATTTTGTAGGATGATCTTATAGTTATAGAGTAATATAATATTAGTGAGGCAGGCATTTAAAAAAAAATTTTTTTTGAATTTTACCCTCTTTAATCTTCACCTTTGACTTAATTTAACGTCTTTTAATGATCTTTTACTCTTCTATATAGTCAGTGTTTAGTTTAGTTCCGTAAAGCTTCTTTGTGTTGTCAAAACTAAAACTCTAAAATCTTTGGCCAAATGTGATTTCTAAACCATGTCACCATGTGAACGCCTGTGTTGTTAGCACTACAGTTAACCCTGTACTGTACTGAGAAAATCGTAAATTTGAATAAAACATCAGAATTATTTTTAAAATATTCAAACTAATAAAATAAATGAAAACCCACCAACTTACAGTTTCATCGAATGCACTTTTACACACTTGATCAATTAAAGATACAAAAGATGTCAGAAAATTCAAAATCCATTTTTCAAAATGATCAGTTGGTCAGATTTGTGAAATAGATAGCATTAGCATCATTTTGAAATTTTATAATGGACCCCCCAATAAAATATTAATTTAAAAAGCCATCAATCAAAAACATTCCTCCTGCATATTAATTTTAAAAAGGGAAAAGTTAACCCTAGCAACGTCACAAATAAAAAAAAAGACAGAGAATCCTACACAGAAATATGGCACGGATTGAGTAAATTGACCCAGTATTCACTTTATTCAGTTCAGCGGAATAGGGTTGGCTGACAGGTTTAGGGTTGGCATCAGCCAGGACTGGTGCAATCTACTCTTTTCCTGAAAACATGACATTAGCCCATATCCATGATCATCAGACTCCAATTATCAAGTTTTGGGTTATGTCTATAATTATCATGAATATGCACAACTGAGGGGAACAATAAATTTACTATGTAAATCCTGGATTATGCATAGGCCAGAGCTAGTGAGCATTGATCTTTATACACTTGTCTTTGGTAAATTATGCTTAGAGCGCATTTTGCTCTGCCTAATACCAGCCTTTGATTTTGATTTCTTTATTATTTTTATGGATTTCATTGCATTATTTCATTTCCTGAGCATTTAAATTTACTTGAATTTTAATAATTAAATTGTCCTTTCCTAATCAATTTTTTCAAATATTCTTCTTGCAGTTTCCTAACTATGAATACTTTATTAAAATTTTATTGGTAAATTTTAATCAATATTTATAGTCCTTTCTAACATTGAGATGAATTTTTCTTAATTTTTTTGTATGCTCAACAAAAAATAAATCAATTGGAGCAAAGTTATTTTCAAAGGGCATTGGTTGAGTTTTGCACATTCATTTTTATGAGAAATCAAAATTGAACGCTATCCAAGTTCAGATAATTATTCACTGGCATGAGAAATGATGGGGAAAATGAAGAGAAACAGTTAAATTAATTTTGTTAAATTGTCCTACTGGTCAAGTACCTTGAAATGTTTTATAATTTCTAAAAATAAACAACACTCTGGCCTGACTGCAACTACCCTGGTACCGTAAATATAAATCAAGAAATAATCAATTACTGTGTCCATGTGTTTTATTCACAATCAGAAAACGTTGAATCAATTGAACTATTGACATTCTTACAGTGATAATTGTTTTGCACTTTTTAAGATCAAATTTTTTCAAAATTTTATCAAAATTGTTCATTTAGCCAAGGTGAATGCCGAAAGTTAAGTTTGTTTTAAAATTATTTCAGGCAGAATTTTCACCACGTGCTGTTACAGGTTTGCTACTGCTGGTGACACATTAAAATATTAAACCAAATGTCAACTAAAGTTTACTAGGATAAGTAAACTACAGTAACATCTCTCCTGATACCTACTTAATGTTGATGCTGGTTGGTTATCAATTATTCATTACATTTGAAAAAAGACTTCAAATGTATAGGCCTATTTGTTGAAATACCACAACTGATTTGACTGATAGCTGAGAAAACTATTTATTATAGAATATGGTAAGAGTCTATTAAATTTTCTTTTAAAAAATGTGATTTGAAATAGTTGTGTGCATCTATATTTATATAGTAATATGTAGCAGTCCCATCATTTTCATTATTTGTTACAGTTTGAAACTATCTAATCAACAGTATTAAATTAGTTACATTTTAATCAAATATTTTCCCCTTTCAGTTGAAGAAAAAGAAAATCCCTTAAATATATACCACATAATTATCTAAAATTATTCTATTTATTCACAATAATTATTGACATATAATAATGATCAGATTGCGAGAATTTTTTAATGATTTTTGTTACATTTTACAACTATCTCTACAGGATTCATCAAAAACACCTTCTTGGGGGGCTCCTGCATCTGGTATTTCTCAGAACAGCCAGCAAAGTCCTCAGAAAAATAATCCATATTTTCAATCTGGGCAACCTCAGAATTTTAATCGCCATCAAAGACAGAGTCCCTATCAGAATAATGCTGGTCGAGGTAGAAATGGAAGCCCAAATAACTTTCAGGAAAGAGGAGACAACGACACTGTTGTAAAAAGCTTCCAAAACTTCAGTTCAAGTAATCCCTTCAATGATCTAGGCAAAAAATTCAGTAATGAAAATCCTTTCCAAAAAAATATTAGTCCAGGTACTGATAACAGTTTCCAAAACCGGTCTCAATACTCCAGTCCAAATTTTCAGCAACGTCCTCGCTTCCAGTCCAGCCCTATTCATCAAAGTGGATTTCCACCACGTTTCAGTCCTCATACACCATCAAAAAATTTTAATACACCATCCCGAAGGTTTCAGACACCATCCTCAGCTGGATATTCAAACGACTCAGCCTCTCAACATTTTAACTCTTCTAAGGTGACTTTAATGAAATTTTACTTAAATATTTTCAAATTACTGGGTGTATATTATACTTAAGACAAAGTAATGAGGGTTTTCCAATCATGGGTACCTCTTTTCTTTTTTTTTTCTCCTTTTTTTTTTTTGAATATAATACTTTAATTGATTTTTTTTTCGCAAAAATAAAATAATACTTAAATATAAAGCCAGCTGTACAGTTTTTGGGAAAATATAAAAAGATCTATTTAACCTAAAATTTCATATTCATTTCCATTTTCTCATATTACTCACTAAATTTACTTAAATATTTTCAAATTACTGGTTGTATATTATACTTAAGACAAAGTAATGAGGGTTTTCCATTCATGGGTACCTCTTTTCTTTTTTTTTTCTCCTTTTTTTTTTTGAATATAATACTTTAATTGATTTTTTCTTCGCAAAAATAAAATAATACTTAAATATAAAGCCAGCTGTACAGTTATTGGGAAAATATAAAAAGATCTATTTAACCTAAAATTTCATATTCATTTCCATTTTCTCATATTACTCACTAAAATCTATGACATTATGGATAAGCCAACGCAAATTTACAAAAATTCACTTCTAGTTGACATTCAAAGAGACAGTAATTTCCATGCAAAGTGTCTAATGCATTTTGCTAATACAGCATGGCTTAAACTTAAAATATATAGGCACACATAACAGACTTTTACATATTTTGCTGTGGATTTTTCCAGAATGCTTGGGAGTTTAATCATTTTAAACCTGCTGCTGCTATGCTATTGCTTCAGACCTACATTATTATTATTTGGAATCATTTTGAACATTATTCTGGAGTTGAGTAAAATTACTTACCAGTAATATTATCTTTACTTTTTTTCTCATGAGAAGCCTTACTTTCAAAGGAACAAAAGTTTGAATAATCCTGGAGGCAGTGATAACATTCAGGAGTACATCCATCCCAGCATGCTCGAGGATCCCTGGAAAGATCTGCCTGCTACACCTATGCTTCAATCATACTGATACAGGACTGATAAATGATACTATGTATTTGTGAATTTTAAAAAGATTTAACACATATCTTACTTTGTTAATTTTGTTTGTTAATAATTTAAATATTGGTTTGAGTCAGATTTCACTAATGGACTTGCTCTGAAAGATCAGTGTTTCTTAAATATTCTTATGGCAGCAGAAAATTTTCACAATTTTGTTTGCCTGGAGTGGCATAATCCTGAATAAAAAACTATACCATTATTTGATTATTTTATTTTTTTAAATAAACCATTGTTTCCCAAAATGGCAAGCCATACATTGCCGGTCCATGCAACATGAGTCAAGAAACTGGGAAACCTAAAATTAAAGTTTTCTCATTTGAGGCTCCAAAACAGCATTTAAATTTTAAACTTATTTTAAATTAAAATATGAGATAGTCTTCAGCATAAAAATACCTTTTCATTTATGCAGGTTCTTCCAGGTGCATAAAATGCAAGGGACCCTGGGAAGCTTTTGCTATACTATATTATAATTTAGAGAAATATGAAACCTTTTCAGTCTTACAAGATCATGGCCTAACTATTAACCCCATGATATGTTTCAATGAAAAAAACACAGGGGGGTACCAGATAACACACATGATTCTCACAAAGCCACGTTGATGGATTTTGAATTCACCAGTTTGCCATGTTTCGGTTCTTTTGGTGCCTAAATTTACAAACACATGCAAGTTTGTATTGTTTATTTTCACGCAACACACCTACACCCAGCAGTCGAGACTGACGCTAAAGTTGTTAAAAAGATATTCATCAAAAAATAAAATGCCAATAGGAAAAGTAACTAATAAAAGCCAAGCATTAAATGGAAATAGTTAATAAGAGTCCTTTTGAATTGGCTGGACACGGATTATAAAATATTTAGGCCAAATAAAAATAATAAACCTGGCACCAGTCCATGGGGCAGCGAGTGAAAAAAACTAGTCCAATGGTCCCCTAAAGTTTGGCAAGCACTTTTATAGATTACATCAAACATATGTACCGGTACCTGGTACAAGAACATCATTATTTGTTCAAATCTACTCTGCAGTGGTGAGCTGAAAAGGTACTATTTGAATAAAATTGATTATCCCCTGAAAGGAATATAAAATTAAGAATCAGAAACAACTGACAAAGCCAACTACAATAAAATAAACTAGTCAAGATTAATCTTTATTATAAAATTCAGGAAAAAAAATGGTTATCTCTAACAAGCCAGGTTGTCATTCCTCACATGGGTAAGTGAATACATTTTCAACAATTGCACATATCAGAGGCATAAACCCTCAAAATGTAGACTATCTTTACATTTGAACAAATATTACATGTAAGAAGGTAACAAAAACCCATTGATAATATTTTAAAGAACTAATCTAAATTATATTTAAATACATTATGTACATTACTAACTAAATGAAATATACTTACAAATATATATACATTTGTTTATGTTATGTTAGTAAAAAGAATTGCAGTTGGGTGCAGACTTTGGATGAGAAAATTGAAGCCTGTCTGACCATAAAATAAAGTCATATCCATAGAAGAATTAGAACATACAGTCCAACATTTCTTTTTTGTGTACGTACAGCAGCAAAAAGTAAACATCGGTTAGAGTTGGAAACCTGAGACATACTTTGTTGGACTGTACCGGTACAATTCTAGCAGATCTGCACAAGTCAAATATTAGTACAGTACAAATGTCTATATTTACAAACACACCAGCAAAGACGGTCACAATTTAATTATAATATGTTGTTTTATACAGTTATGTGAAAGACATTTGAGAACCATTTTTTTAAATGATACATTTATTTACAGTAAAAAAAATCATATCCAGAACACAATTGGCTTGAATTGGCCAGCAGATGTGCATTAACATCAACTATTTTCTAAGGCAACTACTAAAAATACTAAAATCAACAAAAGCTGCATGAAAAATTATTTTACAGTGCCGGCACTAACATAAAATATCCAACTACTGCAATCATGAACAAGATATGAGCTATTTCTAATTCACTTACTAAATTATCCATTAAGTCAAAATTTGAAAAGGGGACTACCGGTAGTGACAGTGTAGCTTAAGCGTAATCCAAATTTCTGGCTAAAATATGATGTTAAGGATTTTGTCCTACTCATACTCATAGGGGCATTTTTTAGTTTATTCCCATCTTAAGGTGATAAACTTTTCGTCTTATGTGTAAAATGTGTTTGTTTTTAAGTATGTACAATATATAAGAAATTTGTTAGAAAAATAGCTTTTGGTTAGTTAAAAATTTGAATTACCATTGTAGGACAGCTTAAAATATAATAAAACGATGAAAGATCACTTTAATTGCACTTTTAAAAATAATAATTTTATATTAACCCTGAAAAGTAAAATAGTAAAGTACCGGTACATGTAAACAGCTCGATTTTGAAAAGGCATGCACGTTTATAAAATGTTATTGATAACTGACATGATGAGAAGTGATAAGGCCACAGCACAGGAACTCAATGAGAATATGGCACATTAAACAGAATGCGTCTCATAGATTTTTCACAGGACGGTAGGCCTCTGTATTTTAGTGGATTATGAGGAGGTGGGCAAAGGGGGGGGGGGGGGGGGGTTTTTTTTTTTTTTTTGGGGGCGGCTTTTTGGGCCGTGGGCGGGGTTTTTTTAAGGNAAAAAACTTAAAAAGTGCCCCCCCCCCCCCCCCCCCCCGGGCACTAACCCAAGATGCGCTACTGCTTTACATACAATTTTTTTTAAAGGATAATATATCGTAAGTCATAAACTGAGAATTGTATTCAGGGCTATCTATGTCCCTAAAAATATACTCCATAGTTTGTTCGTTGCCACAAACGTGTAGAGCAAAAAAGAGGACATTTCAAATCCTTAGACACTTAAGTTTTCAACATTCTATATTTTTTTAATATTTGAAAGAAAAAAAAATGTGGGCTTTGTCAGTCAATTTATCTTGATTTTCTGACAACCTTCCTGGGAAATGTATTGCCTGATGATAATGACTCAGAGAATTTCCCGTTTTGTTTAGGAAGCTCAACTACAAATAAACATAATACTGTTGGATTATTTTACAATTCGATTCTTGTTAGTCAATTTATTATTTTATATCTAGTGTCGTCGCTGGTCAAGTCCTCGCTGGTCATGTCTTCCCTAGCCATGGAAGACTCTGTCCAAAACTGTTTCTCTCACAGGAAGAAAGTGCTGCAAAAAATATAATCAGAAAAATGTTCATACCGCCAAACAAATACGATAGATATGAAACATAATGATATTGTGCAGTGCACAATGTGCACGTTACTTTTATAGAAGCATCATATTACTTTCCAACATTAAAGACAAAAGCCTACATACAATGCATTTATATACATCGAACAAATACGATAGATATGAAACATAATGATATTGTCATTATTGTGCACGTTACGTTTATAGAAGCAGCGTATTACTTTCCAACGACAAGAGCCTACATACAATGCATTTATATACATCGAGTCTTTTTCAATATTCTCAGTTAAGATACACTCTCTCTTACAATCTTTTTTTTTTAAACGACGTTATAATTTATTATGACACTAGCACTAACATTTAGCAGCTGGGTAACGCTCAAAATTTGATTTTTTTTTTTTTAAATGGTCATAAGTACGATGTAAACCTATCTGTAGGCCTAAGTCAGGCCTGCACAACTCAAAATGTATGGTGGGCCGTAATACTTTATGAAAAACATGTGCGGGCCGAAAGAAAATAGGGTGGGGGGTTGGGCTATTTAGTGGGTGCTGGCGGGCCGTATGTTGTGTAGCCCTGGCCTAAATAATTGAGCGATCTGAATACTGTACGTTAGTGGTGGTGGCACTAGTGTAGTTGTGAAAACGATCTTAAAACTTGTTTCAAAGTTAATTTTTTTTTTTTTTAATTATGTGAAATAAGGAAATAATTATTCTTGATAGTTTTCTTTTTAAACATTACTTAGGCTACATGACCTTGAATATGAGGGTAACGACAGAGAGTCGTGACAAGACATCACACACTATTTATTTTTTTTTTTACTTAACGAGAACATAAAAAGACCTTTGACCTAACTAATTATCAGCATTATATGTATACTTAGCGAGGCGATATTACCTGACAACACTTAAATAGTATTACATAAACTTTATAAATGAGTCAAAAACTGTCAAATGTGTTTGGAAATGATGCTCATCAAAACCACGATAAAATTGTACTTTTGATTGCGAATTTGTGAAATTCATAAACAATTCACGAAAAACTGATCTCACCAACTCTTCGCGAAGTCTAACACGTCATAGATACGTCTAGAACATGTATCACAGTTTAATAGACTATTAAAGTAGTATAAATTGGTATTTTCACGACAGTATCATACAATTAAACAGTGGCAATGACTGACTATTTCTGACGCCCTGTGTTGGGCATAATGCAGATTTTGCTCCTTCTTGCTGATGTCCGTCGGTAAACGTGATCTCATGGCATTGACCCCAAAGACATCATACAGGTTATTCTACATATTTCTACACTTACTCTATTCAGTAAGACTAGTGTTTCAAGTGCAAAAGATAATCTTTCTTTTAAAAACCATATCAGAACAAAAATAACCCAATTTTAAAGCGCAATATAGGGGCTTCTTCGGTTATACTATTTCAAGCACTTCTGAGCGAGGAGAGTTGGTGGAAATGGAGGAGACCCATTCAGCCAAACGTGATACTGAGTTTAAGAAATATAACCAAAATATTTTTGTTTGCATTATGAATTATTTTTCTATCATATTTCTGCACCTCGAAGGGGCTTAGAACTTTCTTGTTTCATTCTCAACTCAAAGTCTTTGGTGCGGATGATCAGATTTGCTAAGAGCAACACACAAAACAAACAAACAAAAAGACGCATAGAAATGGTCCAAGAAGTCTCTTTTAATTAAAAAGCTGATGAAGTCTATCTAAAAAGAGGGCGGTACGCACTCTCATGCTAATGATGGCGAAAAATAGGTGGGATGGCGTTCAGGGCGAGTTTATGGCCCCAAAAGGGGCGATGGCCCGAAAAAAGTTTAATAACCACTGGAATAGATGTTACTTTATCCACTTTGGCTTAATTAAGATAATTCAAAAAAGATTTTTAAAAAATCTAGTTTACTCAAGTATATATATATTTTTTTTTTAATATTGCAGAATATTTTTTTTTAAAATGTTGCAGAATATTTATTTTTTTAATTTTTGGAGAAAATAATTATTTATTTTTGTGTAGATTAACAATAATTACACATGAGACTAGATAGGCCTAGTTTTAAAATCAATTAACACAAAAAGCAAAATACTGACTAACTCAGCGATAAAGACAGCTTGGTGTAGTTGCCATGAATTTTACTGGAGTATGTTAATAGATTTAAGATAGACTAATATTAACCCACCTTACGGGTCTTGATATGTAAAAGTTATGTTTGATTTATTTCAGTTTATGTTATTTGCGCGCCAGGGTTATTGTGCATATAAAATTGACAGAATCATATTAGTTTTCCGTTAAAATTTAATTTATGTTTTTTAAACTACCCTCGTACCTCACTTCCTCCACTGCACAGCACATGTGCCACTGGATTTGTAGGCCGATGTGTTGAGCTAATATCACCGCCTGTTTCATCATCAAAGTCCAACTCCTCTTCATCTGATAGCCAGTCGTTCCCACCGTCGTCATGATATAAGGGCGTGAGGTTATCGGAAAGCTGGTTTCTACATTTATGCATCGACGGTAAGAGTCGAAGGAAGCATTGCAGGTTGACTAGTGTCGGTGAAAACTCCATTCTAGCACTGACAAGAAAATCTCCATCGCAGGCAGGCACGGTTTCGCAGGCATCGTTCACTCTGTACGTAAGATCCAAATAGGGCACATGCATGAGATGGAAGTTCTCTATTTGAGATCCGTTGCTGCCCAAATTTAATAACTCAAAACTATTGCTGCTCGTGGCGCTTTGATCCGTCTGAAATCTATTGCTGCTTAGTGGACTTTGTTCTATCCGAAATCTATTGCTGCTCAGGGGACTTTCCTCTGATTGAAATCTGTTGCTGCTCAGTTGGCTTTGCTCTAACTCAAATCTTTGTCTCTCAAAGTAAACTCTCACTTCTGCATCCTCTAGATTTGGCGTGTCTCTGCTGCCGGTTTCGCTATATGGACATGCTGCCATCTCGGTGTGGAGAAAGGGCGCCGTTTGACCAGGGCGTTGAATGGGAACAAACCAATGATCACAATGGACAGTGGCTGCTCTTGTCGTGCTGTGCTGGGGTAGAGGGACTATGACTGATGCGGCGTTACAGTGATTCTCTTTAAGCGCCAGCGACGTCCAGATAGGTGGGTTTTTATAGTCAGACAAGCTCACTTCATTGCAGCTTATCCAGTAACCCGATCTCGGTGTAGACTCATAGTTGAGATCATAAAGTGTCTCTGAAGAAATATGTACATCAGAGCCCGTGTCGCATGTTGAAACCGTATTCTGGGAAGCAGCTCCATTTTTACTTATATGTATTGTACGACATGACCTTTCTGGGCTGTGTCTTTCTTCAGTTTGTCTTAAATTGTTCGATTGTTCATCAGGAAGAAACAAATTATTATTTACCGTATCGGAAAGGTTCATGTTTTCATCATAGCTATCGATATAAGGTTTATTTGCAGCTTCTGAAGCAGGAGTACCAACTACACTATCGGTGAATGCTTCGGGTCTTGAGCGATCTAATTCTAATGCATTGTGATTCAAAAAATGGATTTCCGATACATTTCTACATTCTTGTGGTTGTTGTAACCTGTCTGCCATGGTATTTTCGTTTCGCAGCTTTGATGAAGCTCCAGCAGCGTTTCTCAATGACGTCGTGGAATCCAGGGAAGTAATTGATGTTACTGGGACATTTAACACCACAGCCGGGGCGGACAAGGGCCTCTTGGGGTAAGTTGCCTCATCGATGTAAACGTTTACAAGACTGAGTTCAGGGGAGTTAATCAGCTCATTTGTGGGAGCTACCCCCCCTGAATGGTTATGATTCAAATCGTTGCCCTTGGGATGACGTTTGATTTGAGTGTGTGTGGGTCTGTACACTACCTTGGCAGGGCTGTGTCGGGGCGAGCTGGTGCTACCTCCCACATTGCTGCATAAACTGTGAAGTTGGCCGCGGGCCGTGTTGGACGTGCTGAAAATGGGCTGCGTCGGTCTGCCTGCGATGTTGTTGGACATGGGGATGTTCTGTCCATCACATTCCTTATCTGTCTCCGACAAGGCGGTTATCAGCTGCATGGTGTGCTACTCTGCAATGAAGATAAGTCGGAAAATTAGTTATAAAGACATGCAACTGTGGGAGAAAGATGTTCAACAGAGAAAATGATGTTTGGGTAAATAAAAAAAAAAACTAAATTAGTTCTCCAATAACTGGTTTATAAAAGTTTTTTTTTTCATTTTTCAAAACAGTGTAACCCAGTGCCGCTCTAAGCGATGACGCACGGGGCGTTAGATGCCATTCAAAACAGTGTAACCCAGTGCCGCTCTAAGCGATGACGCACGGGGCGTTAGATGCCATTCAAAACAGTGTAACCCAGTGCCGCTCTAAGCGATGACGCACGGGGCGTTAGATGCCATTCAAAACAGTGTAACCCAGTGCCGCTCTAAGCGATGACGCACGGGGCGTTAGATGCCATTCAAAACAGTGTAACCCAGTGCTGCTCTAAGCGATGACGCACGGGGCGTTAGATGCCATTCAAAACAGTGTAACCCAGTGCTGCTCTAAGCGATGACGCACGGGGCGTTAGATGCCATTCAAAACAGTGTAACCCATTAATTTCGGTTTCGGCCGAAAGTGATAGGGACTTTCGGCCATCTGGCCGAAAGTGACTGTCGGTCATCTACCAGATGTCAGGCTGTCCGTCTGTTTCTAGGCTGGCAATCCGATATTCATTATTGCTGGGCGTCTAGCTGTCATCGTATGTTATATAACTAATACTCTGCGAAAACTGCTCAAAGCTGCATGATGACCTGCTTATCCTTTATTTCCAAAAAATTAAATTTCAATTAGGCCTAAGCAAATGTAAATAGTTTTGTGGAAAAAAAAACTAGTGGAATGGTAATGTTTTAGAGCATTATTTTTTTTTATTATTTAAAAAAAAAAAAAAAATTTGGAACCCTAGGTTTATTCAATTTCTTCATTTGTGACATTCATTTTGATTTATCAATATCATACTCATCAATTTTGTCAAACGCAAAGGTGAATAATATTGCATAATCCCAGAGAATGGTAATATTTCTCCTATTATTTTTGTTTTATTTTTATTTTTTTTAATTAAGGAAAACTTTGCTTTTTCAATTCATTCATTTCTTGAAATCCATCATTATCATGCTCATAAACATTGTTATTGACGAAATAATAAGTGTGTGCATGTATCACTGGCTTGTATTATAATTATGTAGTGGGCCTACAGCAGACCTGTTGACTTTTATGATTTCGGCGACCAATTTAGATGTCTTGCGATTTTCCGTCGAGATCCGTCAGAAGAACTGTTTTAAGAGACCCGGTTAAAAAAATCTCCCTCACCAAAGGAGGTGGGGGAAGTTGGTCACCGAACGAAATTATTACGTCACCAAAACGGTAAGACTAATGTGTTGGTACTAGGCGAAATATTAATACAGGGATATCTTGCCAGCTATTTATGAAAACACAAAGCATTAGTATTTCGAAAACCGCGAAACATTGTGGTGATATTTCTATGGCCGTAATAACTGATATTTAGGTGACAATTAATTGGCTTTATTATAGCCACAATAATTATTATAGGTATATGTTCTAGATTATAATTTTATTATAAAATCAAAGGGTACTCAAGGGTATATTTTGCATGAATTTTGCCTCCCCCATCCCTATCGAAATTTTCCATTATAATACTACTTAAAAAACATTTTAAAGAAATTTAAATTAATTTTCAATTAAAATATTAAAGGCCAAAGTATTCATTAAATGTTTATTTATTAATATTCACAATGATCTCTTAAAAAAAAAAATGTAGATATTGATACTTTCCCCTATCATTTTTTGATGTATGTAGAATTTATGCGTGGACAAATTTCAAAATACCTAAATATTTCAGTTTCGGCTTTGGTTTGGGCCGAAACCAAAAAGTTAAATTTCGGGTTTAAATTCGGCTTTGGGCGAAACTGAAATGTTAACTTTCGGTTTAATTTCGGTTTCGTCCGATAGTCATTTTTAAATTTCGGCCTAGCTTCGGTTTCGGCTGATATCAGAAAATAACTTTGAGTAGGCCTCTAATGGCAACTTTTTCTTTGTGAATTACTGGTATTGGGATCTTCCAGAGATTTAATCAGCTGTGAGCTCGTCAGCATTTGATTCAAGTCATAGTTGGGACCTAGGTCTTATGGGCTTAGGTCTTAGGGGCTTAGGTCTTAGGGACTTAGGTCTTATGGGCTTATGTCATAGGGACTTAGGTCTTATGGGCTTAGGTCTTATGGGCTTATGTCTTATGGGCTTAGGTCTTATGGACTTAGGTCTTATGGACTTAGGTCTTATGAGCTTAGGTCTTATGGACTTAGGTCTTATGGGCTTAGGTCTTATGGGCTTAGGTCTTATGGACTTACATAGGTCTTACGGACTTACTTAGGTCTTACGGACTTACTTAGGTCTCACGGACTTATGTCTTCGGATTATATTTCATCTCACAACAATTATTTCATCTCACTGACATTGTTTGGACCTAACACCCAGCAATATTTTCATCTCACTGACATTGTTTGGACCGAACACCCAGCAATATTCTTATCTCTCTAGTCACTGCCATTGCTTGGGGCGAAGACCCAGCAATATTTTCATCACACTGCGATGTTTTAAAATCTGCACAACCTTTACCGACTCCGTCCCAGAGCGGGGGGCCGAGATCAACTTTGGACAAACAGTCGAAACACGTCACGCACAAAGATCGCAGTGAGTCACCCACATAAGGTAAACGTTTGTGTCTGCCCCCTTGGTGTTTACAGCGGCTGTTTCCGTTCAGTTAGTACAGTCGACTTAACAAATCGTTAATCCCCTTGGATCAGCACCTGGTAGGCCTATCATTTAGACTTTAGAGTAAGTGAATGTGTAAACACATAATAATGACTCATGCGAGCATCAAGTGGGATTTGTATCATCATTCAAAAGCCGTTTTCCGTTTCCATTTATTTTTTTTTTTAAAGGTTAACGATTTTTAGCTCTTTTTGACAATAATAATCTTATAAATGTATTATTAGCCAAGAGTAATGCAAGTCCAGGATGATTCCACGAGGTAGTATGTCAACGCTTAGTGCTTAGGACTTAAGGCCAGCAAGGAGAAACGTGGGCCAAGAAACATGATGGGAAAACGTGTGAGGAGGAAGAGCGGGGGGGGGGGGGGTTGAACCCCCTTCCGGGAGGATATTTGAAGGGTGGGGTTTTTAAAGGCTCTAAGGCCAGCAAGGAGAAACGTGGGCCAAGAAACATGATGGGAAAACGTGTGAGGAGGAAGAGCGGGGGGGGGGGGGTTGAACCCACTTCCTGGAAGATATTTGAAAGGTGTTGTTTTTAAAGGCTCTTGTCTGGGTTAATTAATAAATAAACATTACCTGGCGCTGGCGCACAAATGAAGACAATGATTCTTTCTATTGGTAACAGGCAATCTTTCTATTGGTAACAGGCAATCTTTCTATTGGTAACAGGCAATCTTTCTATTGATAACAGGCAATCTTTCTATTGGTAACAGGCAATCTTTCTATTGGTAACATATTATTCTTACTGGTAAAGATAATCTTCCTACTGGTAACATATAATCTTCCTATTGGCCACATATATTTCTATTGTAACATATAATCTTCCTATTGGTAACAGATAATATTCCTTTGGTAACAGATAATCTTCCTTTGGTAACAGATAATCTTCCTATTGGTGACAGATTATCTTCCTATTCGTAACATATAATCTTCCTATTGGTAACAGATAATTTTTAATTTGGTAACAGATAAAATATTTCTTTTGTAACAGATAATCTTCCTATTGGTAACAGATAATCTTTCAATTGGCAACAGATCAAATACCTCATAAATAAGACATCGGGAACTTTTTTTAAAAAAATACATCTCTCAAAGAAGGAGACTTGAAAAGTCAATGATCACTCAAGTCATGTTTCAATTAAAAAAACAATAATAACTCAAGTTGTTAAAGTGGGGCCCTCACCAGTAGCGTCACTAGGGGGTGGGGTGGTGCGGACCGCACCAGTTGACGCCCTCACAGGGGTTCGACACCGAAAGAAGTGTGCCTCTGTATGTGTGTGTGGGCGTGTGTACGAATGTGTGTGTTCGTGCGTTTGTGTGTATGTTAGCCATCAGAAGAAGAAAAAAATGTGTCAAACATTCCAAACAACAAAAAATCACATTGTGTTATTGATAATCCCCCCCCTTGCCACCCCCCTCCCCTCAAAATATCTTGCCAACACCGACGACAGTACTATGTAAAATATCTCCAACTAACTGCGCAGGTCGGCCCATTAACAATAAGCGATTCATGCATACTGCAACACACTATTTGTGCTGATTTTGCTCTAATTCAAACAAAATTCTCATTATTGCATTAAGGTCTACAGAACAAGAGACCACTACATGGTTGACCGGTGAAAAGTGCATCAGAAACTGCCACTCGATGATCTGACTCTCGAGTCATTCGTAGATCCGTGCAAGAAAGAAACTGCACTGTTGAATCACAATGAAAGGCGAATGACGACAATTTAACTCTGCCGCCCCCCCCCCCCATAAATTGGTAGTTAAATTTTCCAATTTATTGTTATTTTAAAATAAATTTTATTTTCTTTTAAGCATTTTAACGGGAGGAAAAGAGAAAAAAAAAGGAAAAAAAAAAAAACCCCCCCCAGACATTGATAGGAAATTCTCACAAATAGTTGGTATTGAAACAAAAATTTAATTGGCTGTGAAGCAGTGGACCGGGAGGAAAAGAGAAAAAAAAGGAGAAAAAAAAAAAGGGGGGGGGGGCGTGGGGTACACAAAAATCCTAATCACTTCAAAACACCTATTTACTTCAAAGCATTTGTTGAAACAGATTTTCTTTGAATTAGTTCTTCTCGTTAAAGCAATGGAAATAAAAGATTTTTTTTTTATTATTAAGGGCTGACTATATGTGTATAGCTGTTTCATTGATCCTAAAATTTTAGGGTGGTTTACATCGGGTGATTTTGTATTCAATGCTTCGTGAACAGAAGTGAGTTAAAGATTTCAAAGGGGTAATAGTTTTACCCGTTTAAAAAAAACAACTATTATTTTAAAGGTATGAGAAGTCTGGATTCCATTAATTAAAAAAAACAAACAAAAAACATGTGGACATCCACTGAATAGGTAAATGCGTTTTGGAAGTATGTTATGCAACACTTTGAGGGGCTCATATTTTTTTATAATCCATGATGTGTTGTTAAATTAAAGAATTTAAGATAAGAAAAAAAATGTGTAAACAGGAGGGGGAAAAAAATTTTCGTATCGAAAATGGGGAGAAAAAGCTGCCTTTAAATAGGATGCAGACGTGGGTTGAAAACAATGCCCCCATGTTTGCGTGTTGATCGGCTATGGAACGTTGATTCTTGACAAACTTTTAAACAATTTTTGAGACTGGCGATTGCGAGACTTCAAAGCTACTAAGTTATAAATTACAAATTAAGTTTCAAATAATTATTTAAATTAATGGTATCCAAAGAGAGAACAAATAGTTGACTTAAATTTGTTGATCGATTGAAGTAATTAGGATTTGTTGGCTTAAAATGCCAGATTCACCTCCACTGCTTCCCCTCAAATGCAGCGCAACACATGACCATGTCTTGTTATAAAGAAGTTATATCAAATGATTAGAGACTACCGTTCCAACATATTTCTGGAAGTTATACGTACATGCTCAAATTATTTATCGTGGGGCCAGGGTTTCTTTCAGCTAGATCTCGGGGTGGGGGCCCCCGGGGAAAGCCAAGTGCCCCCCGGAGCAAAAATATGTCCAACAATAAATCAACTGGCATTCCTGGCAGTGCCCCACCCCCCCCCCCAGAGTCCTTACATAAAATTACTAACATGGGAGTTCATACATAAAATTACTAACCTGGGAGTCCATACATAAAATTACTAACCTGGGAGTCCATACATAAAATTACTAACCTGGGAGTCCTTACATAAACTTACTAACCTGGGAGTCCTTACATAAAATTACTAACCTGGGAGTCCTTACATAAAATTACTAACATGGGAGTTCATACATAAAATTACTAACCTGGGAGTCCATACATAAAATTACTAACCTGGGAGTCCTTACATAAAATTACTAACATGGGAGTTCATACATAAAATTACTAACCTGGGAGTCCATACATAAAATTACTAACCTGGGAGTCCATACATAAAATTACTAACCTGGGAGTCCTTACATAAAATTAATAACCTGGGAGTCCTTACATAAAATTACTAACATGGGAGTTCATACATAAAATTACTAACCTGGGAGTCCTTACATAAAATTACTAGCCTGGGAGTCCTTACATAAAATTACTAGCCTGGGAGTCCTTACATAAAATTACTAGCCTGGGAGTCCTTACATAAAATTACTAACCTGGGAGTCCTTACATAAAATTACTAACGTATGAGTCCTTACATAAAATTACTTTTGTCGAAAGAGGCTTTGTGGGGGGTGTGTGTGTGTTTGGGGAGTGGAGTGGGCTGAAAAGCCGTCACTTCACGGGAAATTGAACTGGTGGCTTCACCTATAACAAAGTTTTGTTTATTTAAGTTACAATAGGAAAAAAAATCATTTAGAGAACCATGATAATAATTTAATTTAATTCACCTATGATATATAATATATTTGTTGAAAAGAATGCAACATCGCACACATATTTGAAGACATAATGTATTAAACATTGCATGACATTGCAAAACTCATTCTCCACTTTGGTACACATTTTAAAAAAAAAAAATCGATCACGCTTCTTGATTTTACAAAATAATTCCTAATGTTAAAAATAGGAAGTTCAAGAAAATTCTACTGAAAGTACTTGATGCTGCAAGTAGGCCTACAGAAAGTCTGTCGATTGATTCATATTTTCCATTATTATTACTATCGCAAACAAATGTTTTCTTTGGCATGAGCGTAACATTAACATAGGTCAAATATTTGCCGAAATTGCGCAGTTGCTTCAAAGCAATCCCCAAAAGAATATTTACTTAGAAAACGCACTTTTCTCTTGGCACCAATGGCATAATGGAAAATGTGTTGTTGTTTTTTTTGTACGCGCAATCTTAACGTCTTTGCTGATACTTTTATTCGCAGAGAACGTTTACAAACAGGAAATCAAACCAATCATGAAACGAATGTTCCTTAAAACTTTTCGTTAATTCAATTTAAAAAAAAAAAAAAAAAGATTTTAAAAAAAGTTCTTTTTTAATTTAACTTTTTCTTTTTTTTTTTTTTTTTTAAAGTATAACACAAAGATATGAAAATGTTTGTGTTAAAAAAAATGTTATTCAGTCAGAGCACGAATATAACAACGATCTGATTTGAAGCAAAGCTTTTCTTTTTTACACAATAAGTCTTTAAACATCCGCTATCGTCATCGCATGAGTCACAAGGCCAGAAAGGGAGGTTAGTCATGCAGCACTAAAAGAAAGAGACCCAGCACTGCAAATTAAACAAAACAAATTACGGGAGAAAAAAACAAAAACAACCTTACCCCCGTTATGCTTTAACATTAACACGTCTTGTCGGAATATGGTATCGGGGTATTTTTGTAGGTCTTACCGGCTAAGTTAATGCAATAACTATCCATGTTAGAAAAATTCATTCGCGTCAACAATCTTTGGCATGGTACGTTGTAAACTGAACGCGCTAACGTCACTATGATGTACCGTGAGTCCACATCCCCCCAGATAGGTATGCGCTGATGTCACTGCCGTGTGCCATAGGGGCGGATGATGTCACCACAGGTAGCATGTTCCAGAAACTACACCTGCCCGTTAATCTAACGGGGGATACGATTCTCTCTCCCTCTTGTTACCGGCTGCTGGCAAAATGCGGGGCCCGGTGGTGGCATGTACAAGCGTGACGCACAAGAGTGGAGACAAGAGATTTTTCTACTGATCGCCAGCAGATAAACACAGCGTGCGTAGCGGAACTAATAGGCACCAAAATTCAACAGCCATAAATGTGGATGGCCAGCAGAGCGAAGTGGGCATCAACGTTCAACTTAAAAAAACTTTATGGAATAGTTTTTTAAATAAGTTTATGTAAACCGTTAGGGTTGGGCGACTTGCGGCCCGCGGCCCACATGCCGCCCGCTGAAATGACAAATGCGGCCACGAAGACCTGCCGAGAACTGAATTAATGTTTCGTAAATATACTAATTGTGAATGATTATCTGTAAAAGCCTTTAAAAAAAAATAATCACACTGAATTGTAAAAATTAATAATATTCACAACAAACTTTAAAAAAAAAAAGTCTACCGTTGCTTATGTTTGAACGTACTTTCAATTTACTGTCAACATAGAACTCTAAGTGTCCTAGATAAAAACCATTCAACCCGTCAAAACGGTTGCCCATCCCCGATTTACATTTTTAAAATATTAATTTTGTTATCATTATTTAACAGAAGTATCATGAATGTAACCGTAGTGTCCTGATTGTAATAGTTAGTAATAGTATCATGATTGTGACAGAATTTGTCATTTTGTTCCCCTGAAGTATTTGATTGAAGTTGATTTGCATTGTGGATATGGCCCCATGCATGAGTGGGCTGACATGGCGCCTTGCACTAGCGGACTGTAAATCAAAGATGGATATGCTTCCATGCACCAGTGAGATGTATATTAAGGATGGATAGGCCTCGTTGCTCAAGTGGGCTGTATACTAATGAGCTACGTATGTAAAACACCGCAAAATTATTTTGTCACATATAATGTATTCTTTTTGTCGGAGGACATGTTTTTTTAAACAATAATTGAAATTGTGGTTTTGTTTCAAATGTCTTAGAACTTCTTCCAAATAGAGCTTTCCAAAAAAACTTTCCAAATGTCTTAGAGCTTCCAAATGTCTTAGAGCTTCCAAATGCCTTAGAGCTTCCAAATGCCTTAGAGCTTCCAAATGCCTTTGAGCTTCCAAATGTCTTAGAGCTTCCAGATGTCTTAGAGCTTCCAAATGTCTTAGAGCTTCCAAATGTCTTAGAGCTTTCCAAATGTCTTAGAGCTTCCAAATGTCTTAGAGCTTTAGTGACTTTGAAGTAAATAAACGTAATTTCAAGCTGTTTCATAACCCATTTGTCATAGACGTGGAAACTGCACATGTAAATTTGCAGATGGAGCTAATAGACCTGCAGTGTATTGGGACACTAAAAAGGTGAAGTCCGACACAGTTGGGCCTGCACATTTCATTCGTTTCATTCCTGAAGAGATGCCCCAGCTCCGTCTACATGCGTCTCGAACCTTGAGCATGTTGGGTAGCACATATCTGTGTGAGCAGCTGTTTTCTGTGATGGAGATTAACAAATCATCACACAGGAGTCGTCTCACTGATGAACACTCGCAGTCCGTCATGAGAATCTCAATGGCACAGAACTTTACTCCCAACATAAACGAACTTACTTGTTTTTGTAGCCAAGAAAATGTGCCAAACATAAGCTCTGACAAATTGGCATAAGAACGAAAATGGGTATGCCAATGATTTTTTAATTATTAAAACCTTTTTCTGTTTTCATTTACATATTTTTTTTTTAAAGATTAATTTTCCGCTTATTGAATTTTTATCCTTTTCGGCCCGCAACCTTACATGTGATTTGAGTTTTGGCCCGTCGAGCGATTGAGCTTGACACCCCTGTCTTAGAGCTTTCCAAATGTCTTAAATTTTTTCCAAATAGACCTTTCCAAATGTCTTAGCTCTGTCCAAATGTCTTAGAGCTCTCCTAATGTGTTAGATCTTTCCAAATGTCTTAGAGCTTTCCAAAAGTCTTAGAGCTTTCCAAAAGTCTTAGAGCTTTCCAAAAGTCTTAAAGCTTTCCAAACAGACCTTTCCAAATGTCTTAGACCTTTCCAAATGTCTTAGACCTTTCCAAATGTCTTAGATCTTTCCAAATGTCTTAGATCTTTCCAAATGTCTTAGATCTTTCCAAATATCTTAGACCTTTCCAAATGTCTTAGACTTTTCCAAATATCTTAGAGCCTTCCAAATATCTAAGACATTTCCAAATCTCTTAGACCTTTCCAAATGTCTTAGAGCGTTCCAAATGTCCTAGCGCTTTCCAAATGTGCCTTATCGGTTGTATAAATCATAACGTCTTTAAATGTGTTGAAACAAAAATTCCATTAGAGATTTCTTTTAACACATAATTTGCTACACTAGAATATTATGGTTTGAATGATTGCATATTGCACTATCTGGATGTACAGGGGGGATACTCCTTTTGTCGACATTTCAATTGCAACTCCACATGTTCTATTAACAGACAATATGAAAAGAGGAGATCAACTTATTAAGAGGGTGTTAACGAAAGCGCGTTGAAAATCGATATTCAAATATTCGCAGAAATTAAATTTATATCACTGTGACATCAAAGGGAATATTGGTGTTATGATTATGTTGCCATGGCAGGACGTCCATCTCGTTTACATTAACAAATCTTTACCTTATAACCAGGGGCGTCATTTCAGGGTTTTTTAGTGGGGGGGGGGGGACAAAACAAAAACTTGATCGGCTTGTTAAGTTGTTTATTACCGGATGCGCCATAGTAGATTTCAATTTAAATAAAACCTTCAAATTCAAGGGGGTAGGGCGGAAAATGCCCCACCCTGCAGCATGCCCTACCCAAATGACATCCCTGCTTATAAGAGATGTGCTCACTCCATGATTTGAACATGTAAACACAGATGCCCGGCCATAATTTGGTTTGTGACTCTGACGCCGGATTGTATACTTCGGTATTTGACTCATATGGGGATTGTTTGCGATTAACAGAAGGCGTATGGAAAAAATTCACCGTAACTTTGACCCTGTTTGTTTTAAAATGTAGATGTGTAATCCAAGACTTTTTCACTCAACACTTTGAGCAACACTTATCCCTGATTAATGACCAACTAATTAAAATTTCAGAGCAGTTAAAAAGGCAAAAAGCAACAATTTTTAGAAGTGGGGTTGAATTTTAAAGGGGTGCCATGCACCTAATACGAAACTTAAAAGCTTTTCACCATCTAGGTGCATTCTGTACGAATAATTCGGTCTCTAAGGCCCAGCCATTCAGACATCTATTAATTGATCTGGTTTAACCCTCTTTAGGGGTCGACACCGGGGGTGGGGGGGTAGACGCCCCTGCCTTAAGTTATACCAGGTGTGTTTGTTTCTTTTATTGGTGTTGGCCGATCAATTTTAATGAATATGATGCACTCGTGAACTGACATGAACAATAATATAAAGGATACTGTAGATCTGTTCATGTCATCTCGTTGAAGATGCATTCTTTTTAAACAAGGCATGGGCATCTTCAGATGGCAGGGCATTTGAGAGGCCGAGAGGTATATTCAACAATTATTTCTTGCTGCGCCTTTCATGTCAGCACCCCGCGCGGGGGGGGGGGGCTACCCATATGACCTCACGGGCCATTGTGATCGTGGGTTAACTCATCGCGGTCCAAATGTCATCTCATTACACATTTTAAATAAAATAAACTTGAAATAAATACTTTACATAATTGCTTATTAAATAGTCGTGCACAAAATGAAATGCAAAATATTTTTATTCTTCAAACTTTACTCCAAGTTCATTAAAAAAAAAAAGTTGATGTCAGTGAAATAGAACATTGAATGAAGAAGCATATTAATTATGTATATTTATATGATTAATCCTGGATACAGCAGTCCAAAAAAATTAATGTGCCCGTGCCAAGGGTTGGTCATGTCTGCGTCAAGAGTTGGCCATGTCTGTGCCAAGGGTTGGTCATGTCTGTGCCAAGGGTTGGTCATGTCTGTGCCAAGGGTTGGTCATGTCTGTGTCAAGGGTTGGCCATGTCTGTGTCAAGGGTTGGCCATGTCTGTGCCAAGGGTCGGCCATGTCTGTGTCAAGGGTTGGTCATGTCTGTGCCAAGGGTTGGTCATGTCTCTGCCAAGGGTTGGTCATGTCTGTGTCAAGGGTTGGTCATGTCTGTGCCAAGAGTTGGCCAAAGGTTTGTCCATGTATGTGACAAGGGTTGGTCATGTCTGTGTCAAGGGTTGGTCATGTCTGTGCCAAGGGTTGGTCATGTCTCTGCCAAGGGTTGGTCATGTCTGTGTCAAGGGTTGGTCATGTCTGTGCCAAGAGTTGGCCATGCCTGTGCCAAAGTTGGTCATGTCTGTGTCAAGGGTTGGTCATGTCTGTGCCAAGGGTTGGCCATGTCTGTGTAAAGGGTTGGTCATGTCTGTGTCAAGGGTTGGTCATATCTGTGCAAAAGGTTGGCCATGTCTGTGTGAGGGTTGGCCATGTCTGTGTCAAAGGTTGACCGTGCATGTTGTATGGTATACACCATGCAACTCATTTGGAAATATGAAACCCCTGTGAATTTGACACCCCAATCCCCAGGTAGGCCTTATTTATAGTTCCTGCCTTCTACATTTAGAAATGATACAAGACAATGCATTAAGATGTATATAATTTGACATAAATACATAACCACTTATTTGGAATTAGGAGTTCTCTCACGAGATCCCGCACAAATTTGTGGTAAACAAAAGACTTCCCGGGATATTTTTTCCTTCTTGTTGAAAATCTTGTTGACACACCTTTAGAATACAATTTTCTTCTCTTTTGTTTGTTTGTTTGTTTGTTTGTTGTTTTTTTTTTGTTATCTATCAGCAAGTGACATTTTGTCACAATTTTTAAATACAAACCAAGTCCTGAAAAATCTAGTTGACTGAGTTGAACTTAGTTACTAAGCTCAGAAGCTCTAATACACACTTTCTAACGCACTTTGCGTT